CAATCAGTGACTTTTGGAATCATAATTTGTAGAAAAGTAGTAATAGCTTTATGAGCTAAATGCTAAGTCTCTGAAAAAATGTTTCTTAATTCTTGTTTTAGTGAAACACAAAATTAGAGTTTTAAGTTTACTGATCAAGTTGACATTGAAAAATGAATGATAGGAAACTGTGAAAGTTAAAGACTGTAAATCATGTTAAACTTTAATGCAACTGGAAGAGATATAGTTTATTGGAAAACAAGACTAATCCATGTTGTATACATTTACGCATTTATTGAGTAATTACATGACAGACTCTTCAAAATAATTTCTGAAGTTATTCATATTCTGGCTTTATTTAAATATGACTCCCAAAAGGGGCTGGTGGGAATGGAAACTAAAATGTTAATAATATCCACTATGTGCCAAACACAGGTCAAGATATTTTCCAAAAATTATTTTATTTGGTTTTTCACAAGAAACCTGCTCATCATTATCCCAATTTAATAAATGAGAAAATTGAATTCTTGATTTTACTTAATTGTCCCAAGGTCACATATGTACTGGGCAGTTGAACTGAGACTGAACTTGAATCTCTTATTACAAACACCATGTTCTTTGTATTTTGCCATGAATTATGCAATAAGAAACCTGATTTTCAGCATCTTCAGGGGACAACTAATTTTGTCTGATGCAATATGCCTTTCTCAGCTAAGGTCAGGCTCTGAAGTACATTCCCTATTCTACTCACTTTTTCTACAAAACATTTAGAGAAAATATAGTTGAAGATATAAAATGTTGAAAATGCTGGTCATTGGAGTTCTGTAATCGAAGGATGTTCATAAATCTATTTGTACTAAGATATGCCCTCTCCCAACTGTTTTAGGGTCTGAAATTTTTAATAAAGTTTTGAAAGTTTCAGAAAGCATAAATATAAGGTATATATACACTGCAGCATATAGGCAGAACAGGACAAAAGAAAACAACTTCAAATCAATTTTAAAAACATTTACCGAGAAAAAGCTAGAGAGTAAGATGCTGATGGCATGAGGAAAAACAGACCTTCCCCAAAGGCTGAATTTTATTGCCCAAAACCTCTCAGGTCTAATTCCAATTAGTGCATGCAATAGAAAGAGCTGACTTCGGTATTAGATGGATTTGTTTTAGGTTTAGCTCTGCAATTTACTAGCTCCGTGGGCTTCGTTAAGTTACTTTGGTTAAGCTTTTCTGAGCATCTGTTTTCTTTCTATTAATTTGAAATAATAAAAGTTAGTTCAAACTTTCAGTTATAAAATAAATAAGTAGCGGGGATATAATATACAGCATAGGGAATATAGTCAACAGTAGTGTTACAACTTTGTACGGTGATGGATGGTTACCAGACTTATAGTGATCATTTTGTAGTGTATATAAAGGTCAAATCATTATGTTGTACACCTGAAACTAACATAATATTTTATGTCAACTATATATCAATAACAAAAAGTGCAGAGAGTTTCTGTGTGGCAACTAAATGATAGAATATTTATTCTTTTAAAAATTTAATATAGTGTCTTTGGATTAGTAAATATGAATTTCATCCATCCAGTACAAAATTTCCACAGATGCCACATTTAAGGATGAATTGATCATTTCATTTTCTAAATTTCAAAATATGCACCTCAGTCTAGAATTTGTTGTTGCTTCTTTCAAAATGCTAAGATTAGCTCCTGAAACTTTCAGAGAGGGTAGGCTTTCTTACATTTTTATGAAGGAAAAAAATAACTAAGTGTGTCAGAGCAAATTATCTAGCTTTGTCAATATATTACTGTGTCCTATTAATGAAGTATTTCATCTTTGTGTCTACTTTCTTTGAAAAAAAGTACGGTTATTGTGTCAAATTCTTTGGTTTGAATATAAAATTTGTTCTGGAAGTCTAACTGGCCCACCTCTATGTTTGTGTTTAACATATTTATCTGGAGAAAGAAGAGTTTATGGGCCTAGAGTTCGGTCTCAATAGTTCTAGAGAATTCCCGAGGAAACTTGGTGATGTCTGGTTCAGTGTCTCATGGAGTAAGGGTACTAAGTCTTCTCTGAAAATTATTGGCAGCCAACCTTTGAAATATATAGTGGTAAAAATAAAAATAAATTTTAAAAAACAGAGACAAACAAAAACCATAATCCATACTTTCCAACCTAATTCAATGCAATCCATAAAAAATATCCCAGAAAGGTCTTTTGGCAGAAAAAGACAAGTCATTCCTAAAACGTATATGGAAATGCAAAAGACCCAAAATAGCCTAGTCATTTTTGTAATAGAAGATAAAGTTAGAAGACTCACACTCCACAATTTCTAATGTACTATAAAGGTGCAATGATCAAAACAATGTGAATAAAAATGTTGGTCAATGAAACAGAATGGAAAGTCCAGGAAATACAATGCATTTATGGTCAACTGATTTTTAACAAAAGGTGCTAAGACAATTAAATGAGGAAAGAACAGTTTTTTTGTGGTGTTTTGGTTTTTTTGAGGAAGATTAGCCCTGAGCTAACATCTGCTGCCAATCCTCTTCCTTTTGCTGAGGAAGACTGGCCCTGAGCTAACATCCGTGCCCGTCTCCCTCTATTTTATATGTGGGACACCCACCACAGCATGGCCCACCAAGCAGTGTCATGTCCACACCCAGTATCCAAACCAGTGAACCCTAGGCCACCGAAGTGGAACATGTGAACCTAAATGCTGTGCCACTGGGCTGGCCCCAGGAAAGAACAGTTTTTTGACACGTGTTGTAATAATTGGGTGTCCACACACAGAAAGATGAATTTAAACTCTTACCTCACGCTGTACACAAAAATTAACTAAAAATTAATCATAAATGTAAATGGAAGAATTAAAACTAAAATCTTTGAGAAGACAACATAGAAAAAACATTTCATAGCTTCAGTTAGGCAAAGTGTTCTTAAACAGTTTAAAAGACACTGTTAAGAAAATGAAAGACAAGCCACAGGTTGGGAAAAAATATTTCCAAAACATATATCTGATAAACAGACTTCTATGTAGAATAGAAATAACTCTTACAACTCACTATTAAGGAAATAACTATTGGGGCTGGTCTGGTGGTGCAGAGGTTAAGTTTGAACGTTTCACTTCAGCGGGTCAGGGTTCGCAGGTTGGAATCCGGAGTGCGGACAGGCCAACACTTGGCAAGCCATGCTGTGGTAGGCGTCCCACATATAAAGTAGAGAAAGATGGGCCTGGATGTTAGCTCAGGGCTAGTCTTCCTCAGCAAAAAGAGGAGGATTGGCAGCAGTTAGCTCAGAGCTAATCTTTCTCAAAAAAAAAAAAAACCCAATTTTTGTTTTAAATGAGCAGAATATTTGAATAGATATTTCACCCAAGAAGATACACAAATGGATAATAAAGATATGAAAACATAGCTATCATAATTAGTCATCAGGGGAAAATACGTGTTAAAACTACAATGAGATACCACTTTACACCCACTGGAATGGTTCTAATCAAAACTACTGAGCATACCATGTGAAGACATGGAGAAATTGAAACCCTCTTATACTGTAAGTGAGAATGTAAAATGGTAGCACCACTTTAGAAAATACCAAAACATAAACTTACCATGTGACTCAGCAATTCATTACTAGGTATCTACTCAAGAGAAATGTAAACATATGTTCAAAGAAAAACTTTTAAGGGAATCTCACAGCAACATAATCGTACAAGTCAATAACTAGAAACAATCTAATTTCCATCAACTGGGGAAAAGATAAACTGTATGTGGTATATCTACACATTGGAATATATTCCTCAATAAAAAAGAACAAATTACTGATATGTGCTACAGCATGGATGACCTCAAAACATCGTGCTAAGACAAAGAAGCCAGATGCAAAAGAACTACATACAGTATGTTTCTCGAGTGTCCAAAAAAGGCTAGACTACAGAGACAGAAAAAATATATCCCCTTGGTCTGGACCTGGGGTAGGAACAGGGATTTACAGCAAACAACAAAATGGATCTCTTAGGGGTGAAGAAAATGTCTTAAAATTGATTGTACAACTTTATAACAAAATCATTGCATTTACATTTAAAATTGATAATTATAATTCACATGAAATTCATACTTCAATAAAGCTGTTTTAAAAAGTAAGCAAACCAGTGGGAATTTCTTATTCCCAGAGCAAGACTGAAAACGCACACACCACACACACACACAGAGTAAAACCAGAGGATAAATTCATTTGTTGATAAAAGCAAAAATATTTTCTTCATCAAGAGTTTGAGTCCCTATGAACACTTTTTGATCAACTATTTGTATTGTCTGCCATATGATTAATTTACTGCATAGATGTTCCAATCAAATATACAATTTGCTTTCACGCATTAAAACACCTACACAACAGGAATAATTATTTATTGTTTTAAATAAAATTTTCATCATATATTTTGTGATGCTAACTAATGAAAAACATCCTAAAAAGTTACCATTACCAAATGTAATTTTTTTAATTTATCAGGTTAAATTATGTAAATTCTAAGTTCTTGCCTCAAGAATATTTGAAACATAGAAAAGAATATCCATTAGTTAATGGTCTAAAGTGATATAAACATAGAAATAGTTCTATGTTTAGGAAGGTAGAAAAGAGGAGATATTTTTGAAGGTTATATCACAATAATGAACAAAATTTAATACATGCTTAAGCATCCTTTGATGATGTCCTGGCACATGTGCTTTATTTACCTGAACCATTATTGCTTTAGCCTCTGAATTAATAAATATCACAATGGAATTACATTTTAGTAATCTGTCAGTGACTGTGACATGGGAAGTAAAAAAATCAGTGAACTCTATAGAGAAAAACAGCTGGTGTTAAAATTCTAGGAGAAAATTAAATAGATTTTAAAATATTACTTTTTAGTTAATATTTATGGTGTAAGACATACAAAGACACATATGAAGACATATGTCAAGATGGATTGATATAGACAGAAAAAAAGATGTAAATATATATATGAATATACATACCTATTTATATATAATGTTTTATTCATTGAATTTCCCACAACTCATTTAGATGACCTTGCCACGGGGTAGAGAAGATCTGGAAATACAACATCAAAGCTGAAAATAACGCTGGGAGAGCTGGACAAGCCAAATGGAAGTTTCTATGCAACTGGAAATCAGTCCCAAAAGAATGATATGTTGTTTTTAATGTTTTATAAAGCACTGGAAGTGCTTTTTCTACAGACAATTGCAAAGATATGTCTTATCTCATTACTTATATTTACTTAATGCTCTATGAATCTCAGATCAATCTGCCCCCATAATCACCTCATGCATCCCAGTAAAACAGTTGATGCTCCATTTGAGTGCTAATGTAAGTACTATTTTCTGAACCATTTCACATGTGCTACAATATAAATGCTTCAAAATGAGTGAGGAAATTTTCTATTGCCAGGAACACATGCTTTACTTTTTTTACTTTCCACTTGTTCAATGACTGAATAGATGTTTCCATCTTAATAATGAAAATATACTGCCCATATCAATTACATGCTTAAGCGAATTGGTTTTACTTCCTTGCTGGCTGTGTTATTATTCTTTGCAACAGAAGAAAATGGGTTGAACAACACAAAATTTCTATATGTAATTTATGGAGGGCATTAGAGTTTGATGAGCTGAAAATAAGCACTCTTTAAATTCATAAACACATACATATTACACATTTGCAACTTCTTTCCTGCAAATGTGACATTTTTTAAACTCTGGACTTTTTTTACCCTGTTGGTTATGTTGAAATTAATATAAATGTCAACTTTGTTTACATAAAGTACAGGATATAGATGTTTAATATACCTAAAAGTTTATTTGAATCATCACTGTCCAATTGAACTTTCTTTCGATGGAAATGTTCTAAAATTTGCATTGTCCCATATGGTAGCCATTAGGCATACATCGCTATTCGGCATTGAAATGCAGCAAATATGACTTAGAAACTAAACTTTTAATTTTATTTAAATGTAATTAATTTAAATTTAAATTTAAATAGTTACAAGTGGCTTGTGGCTCCTGTATTGGACAACATAGAAAGAGACAAAACTTAGAATCATACATTTTTATTGATCTATAGTAATTTTCATTGGAATTTTAGGTCAGATCTCTCCAAATCAGAGCCAAGTGGAGGGTTAAATAAAGTTTGCAACTTCATGCAGTGTGCTGTCTAAAATCATAGCATTCAAGTTAACTTGTAGCATGTCATTTTGATTTGCTATTTATTGTTTGATCCTTTAATGATCTGATCTTCAGTTTACCCTAACTATATTTAAATTTAGAAGTAAAGTTAGGTCATTTAATATATTTGGACTAGCTTTTATTCAAAAGCAATAGTTCCATGGGAATTTTTGATCAATAGATCAAAGTTACCTAAATCCTCAAACATAAACACATTGATAGTCACTCCTCATCACTCTAATCAAATGTGCCTTTTAGAAAATGTCATTTATTTTCCCCACTGTATCAGATGTGTAGAATATTTAGAAGGTGTTAAAAAATAGATCCATCAAGCAGAAAGGACTCTTAATAGTCAAGCAAGAAGATCATTTAGGGGAAACGTTTCTCATTAGATGAGAAGTACGGGCATAATAGAAAATTGCAACAGAGCTTATTAAAACTTTAATTAGTGAAAACTACTGATTTGAGAGTTAGCGTGAATGTACTCTAGTGTATTCTGCCAAAATTTTCCTAAGAATTTTCTGTATTATATATCTCCATTTCTTTGCTTTAATGCTTCTATATAATCTGCTTTATATTTGCTCTATATATTCTGGCTTCTAAAGTTCTAACCACTTTATCTAACATCTTTTACAACAAATACTAATAATCACCATGTTGCTAAATCCAATCAATAATTTCCATCCTATCTTACTTGACCTCTCAGCATGATTTGTCATGATGATCTCTCTCTTTTTGGAAATCTTCTTGTCCTTTGTCTATAGCTTATCACTTGATTGTTATTTCCCTTACCACTGTAGACTTTTCTCTTATTAAAAATCCATCCTTTCTCCATAAATCCATAACATGTCAGACATACTCAACTATATTGGTTCCACCAGTGTTTTCTTTTTCACTCTAGGAATTAACACTTTCCTATTCTAGGAAGTGGCATCCATCTCCATGGTTTCAATCGTCTATATATCTATAAGCATCAAATGTATATTTCCAGTTCTGATCTTCTTTCAAGCTCCAAATCTACTTGTCCATGTGTCTTTTTAAAATGTTCACTTCGATAGCTAAAACATCTCTAACTAGTAGGTCAACAGAAACAAGTTAAGGATCTTTCTCTGTTATTCCTCAAACAGGATTCTATTCCAACAATCACTGAATAAAGTGCAACACAATTCATCCAGTTGCACAGTCAGAAAACTAAGTATCTTCTTTAAGACACAGTTTGCAACTCCAACATATCCAGATCTGCTCAATCATAAAATCAATGGATTATTCCGCCTAAATACATCGTTATAATAAATCTCCATTGCCACTTCACCAAACAGAATCATACAAACCAAAAATGGTCTCATCTTTCACTAAGACTACTAGCATAATATCATTTCCCAGTCCTTTTTTTCACTCAGAATTCAGGTTTAATTTTACTATACTGAAATCTTATTTGCTATCTAATTACTGAGAAAACTTCAATAGTTTTCTGTTACTCTTACGATAAAACCAGCATCCTTGAAATGGCCTATTAATGGGGCCGGGCCCATGGCCGAGTGGTTAAGTTCCCACACTCCATTGCAGTGGCCCAGGGTTTCACTGGTTCGGATCCTGGGTGCAGACATGGCACTGCTCGTCAGGCCACATTGTGGCAGTGTCTCATATGCCAAACTAGAAGGACCTGAAACTAAGATATACAACTATGTACCAGGGGAATTTGGGAAGATAAAGCAGAAAAAAAAAAATGGCCTATTAAGACCTTCCAAAAACTGCCCCTTATATAATATGCATATAACAAATTATTATTAATTGCTTACTATTAGTTATAAGCAAAAATATACCCAACTCTTGCCCTCAATAAGCTTGCTGATTAGAAAGGGAGAAAGCTGTCAACCAAACAATTCTACAATCAAATGTAAAATGCAACTGTGACCAGTATTATAAAGTCCCTAGAGCTTTGTGAACCTATGATAATGGGGTTGATCTAGGCAAATAGGTGAAAGAATGCTTGATCAATGTCTGAAAATTTTGAGCAGAAATCTAAAGAAGGATTGAGTTAACTAAATGAAAAAAAATTTAAAGGACTTCTCCACTAGAGTACATCATCAAAGTTCAAAGTATATAGAGGAGATTATTTAGATTCTTTACAGACAGAAAACATACTTTGTACGTTTCTATTAATTTAGATTTATTAAGATTCATTTTATGAATCATAACATGGGCTTATTTGTTTAGTGTGCACTGGAAAAGAATGAATATTCTGCTGTTAGGTGCAGTGTTCTAACAAATATTGTAAAGGGCTTACTGAAATCTCCACTATGACTATAGATTTATTTCTCCTTGCAAGTCAGCCAGTTTTTGATTCATGTATTTTGATGGCCTCTTATTAGGTGTGCATAAACACTTATGATGATTAAGTTCACCTGATGAATTGACCTCTTTATCATTATGAAATCACCTTTTTTATTTCTGGTAATATTTTTTCCTCTGAATATACAAGCATACCTCAGAGATATTGTGGGTTTGGTTCCAGACCACTGCAATAAAGCCAATATCGCAATAAAGCGAGGCACATAAATTTTTCGTTTCCCAGTGCATATAAAAGTTATGTTTACATTATACTGTATTCTATTAAGTGTGCAATAGCATTATGTGTAAAAAGACAATGTCTATAACAATTAAAAAAATACTTTGTTACTAAAAAATGCCAACCATCATCTGAGGCTTCAGTAAGTTGTAATCTTTTCGCTGGTGGAGGGTCTTGTCCTCCATGAAATATCTTTGAAGCACAATACAGCAAAATGCAACAAAACGAGGTATGCCTATATACTCAAATAACCACTCCCATTTGCGTTAAATTAGCATTAGTATGGTTATTTTTTCCATCCTTTTACTTTTGTCTTTATATTTAGTACATTTCTTATTATAAGTGTTTTGCTTCTGTATCCAATCTCATAATATTTGCCTTTTGTCTATTTAAAGTACTTACACTTAATGTAATTATTCATATAACTATCATTTTTCTATTTTTTATTTCTTTCGTCTCCTCTGTTTCCCTTCTTCCCTTTTCTTTGCCTTCTTTTGAATTAGTTGAGTACTATTTAGAGTCTGTTTTATCTCTTTTATTGGCTTATTAGCTATAATTCTTTACTTTCTTATTTTAGAAGTTGTTTGTATTCGTTTCCTATTGTTACACTACAAATTACCATAATTTAGCATCTTAAAATAGCACACGTTTGTTCTCCCAGTTTCCATAGGTCAGGATTTCAGGCAGTTTCCATGGGACAGGATTTTACACTCCTCTCAGGGTGTTACAAGGTTGCAATCAAGATATTAACCAGGGGGTATTCTTTTCTTTTCGGGAGGCTCAATTAGGGAAGAATCTGCTTCCAAGCTTATTCAAATTGCTAGCAGAACTCAACCCCTTGTGGTTGGTTTAACTGAGGGCTTCATCTTCTTACTAGCAATCAGCTAGAGTCTATTCTCAGGTCCTAGGAGTCACCCACAGTTCTCTGCCACGTGATCCTCACCACGGGTAGTTCACAACATGCCCGTTTGCTTCCTCAAGGCCAGGAGAATCTCTCTCTCTCCAGTTTGCTATGGAGTATCATATAATGAAATGGTGTCATAGGAGTAACATGCCATCACCGATGCCTAATAAGTAGCCTAACCAACAGAATGACATCTCATCACCATTACTGTATTTCATCATTTAGAAACAAGACATAGGTTCCACCTGCACTCAAAAGGAAAAGATTTTACAAGGGAGCGACTCACTGGTGGCCAAAAAGGGTGAGTTGACATCATTGTTTAAGAGATTATAGTACACAGCTTTAATATCATAGTCTACTTTCACCTGATATACTTTACATCAACTATAAAGATATATAATTTACTTCCATTTCTTCTCTCTCACACTTTGTGTTACATTTTACTGTTGCATATGTTATAAATCTCACATCACATTTTTATTGATACAGTTCATTCATTAGTTTTTTAAAAAAGATTTAAATATTAAGTGAAATATATATATCTACTCATGTAGTTACCATTTCTGGTGACTTTCATTCCTTTGAATACATTCAGATTTCAACCTAATGTCATTGTTCTTCTGCCTGATAAACTTCTTTCACATTTCTTGTAGTGCAGATCTGCTAATGATAAATTCCTTCAGCTTTTGTATAACTAAATGTATCTTTAGTCAACTTTCATTTTTGGAAGATATGTTTCCTGTGTATAAAAATCAAAGGTGACTTTTTGTTTTTATTTTAATAGTACTTTAAAGATGTTGCTCCCCTGTCCTGTCCCTTGCATTGTTTCAGACAAGAAATTTACTGTAATCTTTACCTTATTTTTGTTTTTCTGTACGTAACATGTCCCTGCCCTGCATCAGCTGCTGTTAGGTTTTTCCTTATCAATGGTTTTAAGCTATGTAATTATGACACGTATGCCTTGGTATGGTTTTCTTCATGTTTCTTGTGCTTGGGGTTTGTTGAGCTTCTTCGATATGTGAATTTATAGTTTTCATCAAATTCCAATATCTTTGGTCATTATCATTTAATTTGTTTTTGTCCTCTCCCCTTGCCTCTTCTTCAGGGCCTTCATTTACAAGTATATTTGGCTGTTTGACATTGTCCCACAGCTCACTGTTGCTTTTTTCTTTTGATTTTATATTTTATTTTCTGTGATTCATGTTAGTTTCTTTTCTTTATTTTTTGGGTGGGAGAGATTGGCCCTGAGCTAACATCTGCTGCCAATCCTCCTCTTTTTCGCTGAGGAAGACTAGTCTGGAGCTAACATCCATGCCTATCTTCCTCTCCTTTATATGTGGGATGCCTGCCACAGCATGGCTTGACAAGCAGTGCATAGGTCCACACCCAGGATCCGAACTGGTGAAGCCTGGGGTGCCAAAGGAGAATGTGAGAACTTAACTGCTGTGCTACTGGGTCGGCCCCATTCATGTTAGTTTCTAAGGCTATGTCTTTTTTATTATGCCATGCTTAATTTGCAACTGATCTCATCTAATTACATCTATACATTGCAGTTTTCACCTCTACAAGATTTAGGTCTTTATTATGTTTTATATCTCTAACTTTTTAAAGTCTTTTATTGCGATCCATTTAAAGTGTAAATTGAATGGCTTTTTGTATAGAATTGTGCAACCTTCACCGTAATCTAATTTTAGAACATTTTCATTTACCCTCCAAAAGAAATCCCATGTCTATTTGCAGTCCCTTCCCATATGCTAGCAACCTCCCCCAACCCCCTGCCAGCCCCTAGCCCAGGACAATCACTAATCTACTTTCTGTTTGTTTAGATATGCTTATTCCAGACATTTCATATAAATGGAATCATACAATATGTGCTGTTTTGTGAGTGATTTCTTTCACATAGCATGTTTTCAAGGTTCATCCACGTTTTAGCATATGTATTAGTACCTTGTTTTCTTTTATTGCTGAAAAATACTCCATTGAACGGATGTAGATTTTGCTTTTCCATTCACCAGCTCATGGGCATTTGTGTTATTTCTACTTTTTGACCTTGTAAATAATGCTGCTATGGACATTTGTATACAAGGTTTTGTGTGCACGTTTTCATTTCTCTTGGATATATATCCCTGAGTGGAATTGTGGTTCATATACTAACTCTATAGTTAACATTTTGAGAAACTGTTAAACTCTTCTCTAAAGCAGATGCATCATTTTACATTCCCACCAGCAATACGAGCATTCTACTTTCTTCACATCTTTACCTTTTATTATCTTTTTTATTACAGCTCTGCTTATCTTTCTGAACATATGGAATATAGTTATAAAAACCGGTTTAATGTCCTTGTCTGTCCATTCTAACAACTATTTCTCTTCTGATTCAGTTATTGATTTTTCTCCTCATTATGAGTTTTGTTTCCCTCCTTTTTTTGCAAGCTTGATAATTTTTATTTGGATGCCAGACATAGTAAACTGTACCTTATTGGTTTCTGGAAATTTTTGTATTTCTATAAATATTATTGAACTTTGGTTTGTCATATATTTAAGTGACTTGTTAACAGTGGTCCACTTGGGTCTAGCTTTTAAGATTTGTTAGGTGGTATGAGTGCAGTGATCAGGCTGGAGCTAATTATTCCCTAGTACTAAGGCACAAACTGTCAGCGTACTCTACCCAGTGTCCCACGGATTACGGTTTTGCAGCCTGACTGGTGGAAACAGTCACTATTTCTGACCGAAACTGATCTCTAGGAATCTTTAAACATCTTTTCAGGGTCGTTTCCTCAAACACACGATGCTCAGTGGTCAGCTGAATACTTGACAAAGCTCCGCAGAACTCCGAGTTTCTCTCTGAGCAACTATCTCCTTTCTCCTACATTCTGCAGAGAACATTAGCTGCCTTTGTCTCCCCAGAACTTCAGCTCGAGCCCGTCACTTCAGGAAATGCGCTGCGCTCTGCTTGGGTTCTCTCTCCCAGCACCGCCTCCTGGAAAATCTTCAAAGGCAGTAAGCTTTTTGAACTGATATCATTTGTTCCGTGTCTCCAGGATCACTGTTCTTCGTTAGTGAAGCACAGTGTTTTGAAAGACAAACCCAATGTTGTCCTTCTACCTTAGCAGAATTTTCTTAAATACAGTTAATACTGAGAGTTTCCCCTAAAACCCAAAACTCACCGCAATACTTTTCCCACTTCCGCGTAGACAGAGAACCCAGCTGCCAAGCTAACCCCCAGCGAGGTCAAGCCGCACCTCCAGTTTCCAGCACCGCCCACACGCTAGCGCGCAGGCGCAGAACTCCTGCGCGCCCTCTTGGCCCAGCCATAACTGCGCCTGCGCCAAACAGCGGGGCGCGCCAATGCGCGAATATGCACTTACCAATGAGAGCGCATGATCTGCCTTGATTCCCGCCCACTGACCGAGCAGCCAATCATCTGCCCCGGCGCGCAATCCGTGATGGATCCAAAGAGGACGGAGGGTTTTCGGTAGGGGAACGCTGAAGCGCGGCGCAGGGGAGGATGGAGGTGGCGGAGACCAAGGCGGAGGCTGCTGCGTTAGAGTAAGTGTCTGTCACCATGGGACAGCCGGACAGCCGGGGGCGGGCTGGGGCGGACCCTGCGGGCGCCCACGTACAATCGACGACCCTCTAGACCCCGTACAGCTGTTGGAATTCGACTGGGCCGTGAAGTGATCCTGACCCCAGTCCCTCAGGCTTAGGTTCCTGAGGTGATGGTTGCTTCTCCCCCGGAGGACGGCCGGTGAGGGACTGTCCGTGGCTCTTACCTACACACACGCCCCAGGGGTGTGGCCTGAAAGGCGACGGTTCAGTCTGTCGCCCCTGCACATCTTTTTGCGGACCGCCCTATCCTAACAGGAGACTTGGCACCCCAGGAGACGTCCTGGAGGGGCCATTTCATTTCTGTCTCCCCTGTTCCAACACACACTCTCCCGGTGTGTTATTTGATCCTCATCCCGGCCTCCTGGTGGACCGCTTCAGCCCCTAAAGAACTCACCTTAGACCGAGGCTTCCAGCGCGCTGTCCTGAGCGCCTTCTCAACATTCTGAGACCCTGGTCCACGGCTAGTGTTCTCTGCCTGGAGCGCTTCCCACTGCTCATCAGAGTTCTGCCCTTATTCTTCCTTTTCCCTGTATATTTCCCTCACTGCCTTCAGATCTTGACTCAAATGGTTTCTCTGCAAAGACGCTCCCTATTTAAAATGCACTCCCTTCCGCGCGCACTCCTTATTCCCCTTGCTGTGCTTATTCTTTCTCATGCCACTCATTAGCTCCATATATCCTCCATACACAGACCATTGCTGGTCCCAGGTGGCCCTTCAGTGTGTGGATACTGGTCAGGGCAAGACTCTCGGCATTAATACACACACCCACATGGGTGCATATGCACACAAGTTCTCCAGAACTAGCCCCCCAGGAGTCTGCCGTTTCCCTCCTTTCCTTTTGCCACTTAAGGACCCTGGCAGAGGTGGCAGATATCCTGGAGCCAAGAGGCCTGCAGGAGGAGGCAGAAGTGCCTGCCCAGATCCTGGCCGAGTTTGTGACGGTATGTGCAAGATGGGAGCCAGTCTGTCAGAAGCCAGGGACTGCGCCTGGGTCCTTCTACTGAGATACTGGGCAGCATTGATGGTGAGCAGACTGGAAGGTAGCCTTGTTGGCCTATAGTACAAGGAGGTAAGAATGTTCCCTGCCTCTACCCTCCCTCTAAACAGGACTCCCGAAAGAAAGACAAGCTGCTCTGTAGCCAGCTTCAGGTGGTAGACTTCCTGCAGAACTTCTTGGCTCAGGAGGACACTGCCCAGGGCCTGGACCCCTTGGCTTCTGAAGACACGAGCCGTGAGTAGGAGGGGTGGAATAGGGGCTGCCCTGAGGAGGAAGGAACTGGGATGTCAGTCAGGTCAGCTCTTTGGCTGATGGCAAGACTCAGTGCTGCAGGCAAGTGGGCTGACTTCACTGATGCCCTCATTCTTGGTGGCTCGTCTCAGGGCAGAAGGCAATTGCAGCCAAAGAGCAATGGAAGGAGCTGAAGGCCACCTACCAAGAGCATGTGGAAGCCATCACAAGTGCCCTGACTCAGGTCCTGCCCAAGGTGGAGGAGGCCCAAAGGAAGCGGGCACAGCTCCAGGAGGCCCTTGAACAACTCCAGGCCAAGGTGAACCCAGGGTGTGGGAAGGGAATGGCAGGCAGAGGGGAGGAGGGAAAGTATGAGCATGCTGGCTTAGACCCACTGGCTGCCTCCCAGAATCCAACTAGAAAAATCCGCTCCTCTCCTTGTCCCCCTTCTTTCTTTACCTGCAGAAGCAAGTGGCCGCGGAGAAACTCAGAGTAGCGCAAAAGCAGTGGCAGCTGCAACAGGTAGGTCCATCCTCGGAAAACTTCTGTTCCCACCACCATGCCATTGCATGGGCTAAGTCCTCTGCCTGGAAAATCTTTATCTCGTTTCTTCCTGTGAGGCATTATAGTATAGGAACTAACTTTGGCTTGAATTTCAGCACCAACACTTACCACTGCATGACCTTGGGTGCTCACTTGTCTGTGCTTCTATTTCTTCATCTGTGAAATAGGGAAAATATTAGCATCTACTCTATCAAGTTGTTAAGATGATTACGTAATTAGTACAAGGGCTTAAAATAATGCCTGGCAGATAGTAAACTAAATGTTATCATCATCTTTGTTATCATCATCTAAGATCTCAGCATCTCAGGTACCATGTCTACATTCTCACTCCTGGTAGGAGAAGCATCTGCAGCATCTGGCAGAGGTTTCTGCAGAGGTGAGAGAGCGTCAGACAGGAATGAAACAGGAGCTTGAGCGGCTGTATCAGGAACTTGGAACCCTGAAGCAGGAGGCAGGGCAGGAGCGAGAAAAGCTGCAGAGGTGAGGCTGGGAGCATAGGCTGCAGACCTGGGGTGGTCCAGCCGAGATTCCCTCCCTTCACACCCACTTCCTCCTTCCAGGCACCAGACCTTCCTCCAGCTGCTCTACACCCTGCAGGGTAAGCTGCTACTCCCTGAGGCAGAGGCAGAGCTACCACAAGAGCGGGATCTTCCTGAACCTAAGTCCCAGCAGGTGACCCAGTCCTGGGAGCTCAACACTGGGGACACCATGGAGAGAGTCGGGGATGTGTCGTCCAAGGTGAATGAGAGATGGGACAGATGGGCAGGGAGGTGGAGAGAAAAGCCAAGAGATAGACCTTACTCACTGCCCATACCATGTCTCCCCAAGGCCAGTGGCCCACCACCTATTGCAGATGCAAGCTTGCCACAGCTTTCTGAGAGACAGCAGCATGGGGAAGGATCCTAGATCAGGTCAGACTCCAACTCAGGCCCTGACGTCCCTGGACTGCAGGTATGGAAGGAGGGAGGGCCTCTGGTCTACCTGTCTCTGTATCTGAGCTCTGCTGCTCATGGAGAGGGTGGGTGGTGGGAAGGAGTAAGGAGTTTATCTTATGATTGAAGCTTAGCACCTCATGCCCATGCCAAGCGTGTCCTGGGTAACCCCTCTCTTCCTCTTCCCCACCCTCCCTGGCCCTACCCTCATTGTAGGATGAAGTGTGAATTCCTGAATACAGCCTGATTTTGACCACAACCCAGGTTGGGGCAGGCTCTGGATTCTGTTGATTAAACGCGATGGGGCTGTCTCAGTTGCTTCTTTGTCTGTTCATCTCCATGTATTGGTAGGAAGAGCCATACCATTCTCAAAGGCCAGGAACATGACAGGTGCTAGGACTGGTATGAACAAAGAGGGTGCAGATGGGGAGGGGACCCTGGCTTGGGGCCTCAGGGGTTGCTTGCCCAAATCATTATGATGCAGACATACTGAGCTTAATTCAAGGAAGAGGAGAATGCTTTATGCAGGTGGTTAGATTTGGGAAGATGATTTTAATCACTCATCCAAATGTTTATTGAATCCCTGCTTCGTACCAGGCCCCTTGCTATGTACTGGAGCTACAGCAGTGGGCTTGTCTGATCAGTCCCTGGCCATGTGGAACATGGAACATAATGAGCATAAACAGGTCAATAAGATGCTTTCAGAGTATAGTACAACAGGGTAGCAAACTAAAAGAGTAATATGATAAAGAGCAACAGCAAGAGAATATAGAGACCCCTGTCTGTCTGTATTGACCTGTGTCTGTGTGAGCTAGCATTTCTGTGTGTGTCTGTATGTTTCTCTGTTTGTTGCTTTCCATCTCGGTTCTTCTGTGTGTCTGTTCTTGGGGGTGTGGGCAGTGAGGGGCACTACTGTGCGTGAGAGGGGGATTGCATCCCTGATTGGGAGTGTGGAAACTGCTGTCTAAGAGAGGAGAGAGAGATCAGTGACAACTCTCAGAGTGGAGAACCCATTTTCCATATGAGAAGACGACCTTCATGTTTGAGAAAGATCTAAACATCCATTTGAGAGACACTGAGGCCCTTTGTTTTTGGTGAGAGAGTGTTTCAAGGAACATTAGTCCCTGTTCCGTCTCAGAATGGGATGCCCTCTCTCAGGTTGAGATTGAGATCCCTGTGCATGCTATGTTTGCTCTACTTTTCTGAGGTGTCCGTAGTTTTCTCTCACATTGTTCAAAGTGTGTTGGGCCCACTTTTTAGTTTTGAAATAGGACAGATATCAGAGGTCTTTGAGGGCCTGCATCACGACTGAAAGAGGGCTTCAGTGAGGATTGAGGATACTTCACTAGAGGGCACACAAATACCCAGAAAGGCTTCCTCAGTCTACCCATCCCACCGTGTCCCCCGTGGTCTCTGCTGTGGCCTTCTAGCAACCCAGCTATCCAGGCTTATCCTTCCCTCTCTTCCTGCTGGGTGAGCTTCCCTACCCCTGATTTCTTTTCTAGTCTCAGATACTCTAAAATTTTTGCAACACAAAGGAGAGAGTAAGAATGTATATATCCAGGGGCCATCCTGGTGATGTAGTGGTTAAGTTCCTGCGCTCCGCTTCGGCAGCCCGGGGTTCACCAGTGGGGATCTGGGTACAGGCCTAGCACCACTCATCAAGCCATGCTGAGGTGGCGTCTTACATAGGAGAACTTCTAGTTCCTTCTAGGACCTACAACTAGAATATGCAACTATGTACTGGTGCTTTGGGGAGGAAAACAAAAAATAGAATATATATATCCATCCTGGGCAAGGAGTGTGTCTATTAAGGGACACTGGGGAATGGATTGGAATGGTGTGGAGTTTCCCTGTCTTTGCAGACATGGTGGCTGACAGAAAGTCAGCAGGGAAGGGAAGACACTCACATGGAGCCCAACAGGCTGGAGATAAAGATAACATCCTGACATAAGTCCAAGCGGCAGGGCAGAGGGAGGAGATTGGGCAAATGTACAGTAATCAAACTTAGAGGTCTGCAAAACTGCTGGGAAGCAGATTTCTTTCAAGGAGTGTGGAATGAGTCAGTCCACCCTGAGGTCAAATGGAAGGGGAGACTTCTGTATCTGTCATATTCAAATCCCCAAAATTGCCCAGTATGGCTGGAGCCTCGAGTTATCCAGAAGTTTCTTGACTGACAAGCTCAAGAATTGGGACTTGTTTTCAGATCAGCTTTCAGCTATTCTCAGCCCCCTCTTAGGCACCCCTACAGACTATCTTGTTCACTGATAGTTGCAGGAGGTAGATGTGTGCAGGGAGGGAACCTCCCTCTGGGAAAATGTGGTCTCTTGCACAGAGATGTGGAGACTTAGGAGTCCACAGTGACTTCTGAAAAGGCCCTGCATCTGCCAAAGATTTTCTCTTCCTCTTTTCGATCCAAAGGAGGGACAGACACAGAAACCAGTGGGGAGGGATGGGGACTTCACTTGATTGTTAGCACAATCAAGAGAGTGTTACTCTACCTTGACCAGAAAGGGTCTTCTTGATAAAATGAAGATTATGCTTGCTCCATTAAGCTAATAGGAAAACTTGCTTTCTCTATTCTCTGTAAGAATAATATTTCACAAAATATTTCACATTTTCTAGGTATTGTCATTTTTCTAGGAATTTTTGATTTCTGATTTTTTAAGTTTATTGATATGAAGTTGTCATATCTTTTTTATCCTTTAAAATCATATGTTTTTTATCCTTTATCCTGTTTTAGGATTGCCTAATGTCATATTCCTGAAATTTTCTTTGTGCCTTATATAATTTTTTTCCTTGATCCATCTTTTCAGATGTTCATTCATTTTCAAATATTCAAAGATTGGCTTTTGTGATCCACTATTGTATGTTTGTTCTGGTTCATTGATTTGTAGTCTTATCTTGATCATTTCCTACCTTCTGTTTTTAGATGGAGAAGATGTACTTCTTTTGTACACTCTTTATTTTTATCACGTTAAACTTGTGTATTTGGATCTTTGTTTTCTCAAATAAACTTTTAAGGCTATAAATTTCTTCTGGCTTCCTCTAAGTATTTTCACAATCATTCAATTCATAGAATTTTCTGTTTTCCGTTATAATTATTTCTTTGATTCATGAGTTCTTTAGAAAAATAATTTTGAAATTTTCTACTGTATGTTTCTGGGAGGATAATCTAAGTTTATTCCAATTTGGTCAGAAATGTCATCTATACAATAAAAGCTTTGAAATTTGGTAAGGGATTTTTTTTAATGTTTCATGTGGATTTGAAAAGAATGTCTGCTTTGGAACTGTTCTGTGTAATGTTTTCTATATGTCTGTTAGATTATGATGTTATTTTTTTCAGTTTCTATCTTCTATATACTTAATTTTTTGTTTTCTGAATATCATCTGAGAGAGGTGCGTTCCAGTCTCCAAATATGATAGTGGATTTATTTCTCTTAATAATTCTGTTGAATTTTGCTTTACATGCTCTGTGGCTATTTTATTAACTTCCTTACGAGTTTACACTTACTATATCTTTCCTCCAAACTGAACTTTTACTATTATGTAGTGGGTTTCTTCATTTTTGTGCTAGTGTTTTTCAGTCTTGAAGTCTAATAGTTTTAATGTAACTTTGCCAACTATCTTTTGTTTCTCCTTTGCCTGATTTGTCTTTCCTACAGTCTTTTGAGTTTCGACCTTTGTTTATCCTTGTTTATCACTTGCATACCACATTTAAAGGGCTGTTTTTGGAAATGCAGTTTCATAATCTTTAAGATTTTGTATTTTTTATTCCCTCTCCCTTGTTTTTTAGTTTATTCCTTTCTTGCCTTTTGGTTTTATTTATTTTTTATCTTTTTGTTTTCATTCCTCTTACCTTTTTTCTTGTTTGGAAACTCTTCACTGTTTATTTTCCCAGTTTAGTTTTCATAGTTAATAAAGTCTAAAATTAAGACTAAAGAATCTTGATACTTTCCTTAAACAAGTAATGAAGCTTAGCAGGCTTTACCATTGATGGATCATCCCACTCTTAAGTAATAAGGTATTTTTGTCCAGTTTGTTACTTCTAGCCAGGTTTTGTTTTCACAAATTAGACATTATTGTTTTATAGTCAATGTTTTATTTATAGTTCCTTATGATTTTTTGCCTACTTAATTTTGATATGTCAGAGCTTTCATATGGGATAATTTCCCCATCTGAATCAGAATTTCGTTAGTTAAGATCTGCAGGCTGTGTAATACTTTAGTTTTTCTTAGTATGAAATAGTTTTGTTTCATTCTCATTCTTGAAAGATACTTTCTAGAGAATACTTAGTAGACAGCTACTTTCCCTTAAAACATTGAAGATAATTTCCCATGCTAATCTGGCTTTCATTGTTGTTGATGAGAAGTGAGCTGCCAGTTTAAAAGCTCTTTCTATACATCTTCTTTTACTCACTGGCTACTTAAAAAATCCTCTATCTTTGGTACTCTATAGTTTTACTATGTTATAAATAATTTGGGATTCTGGTTTGTTTATTTATTCATTCATTCTCCTTGCCGTTAGTTGGACTTTCTAAATCTGAAATTGCTGGTCTTTCAACAATTCTGGAGTATTTTCAGCCTTATCTTTTTAAAAAGTACTCTTACTTCTTCTGTATTAAATTCTTCTGAGACACCAATTAGACATCAATTAGATTTTCTAACTTTGTTCTTCATGTTACATAAACTTTGTTTTATGTTTACCATTTTTTTCCTGTAGAATGCATTTAGATAACTTTCCTTAAATCTATTTTATTAACTGTATGTTGCCAATGTATTGTTTAATCATTAGTTTCTTAATTTTTGTTTTTCATTTCTAGCAGTTATATTAGACCCTAATCTACTTTATTTGGATTTTTTTTTGTTATTCTGGCTCATGTTTTGAGCTTATCTTTTATTACCTTAAACATAACATACTTAGGCTTTTTATCATCTGTGTCGGAAAGGTTCAATTTACGTCTTTGTGGGCCAGTACGTTTTGCCTATATCACACACCTCCTATTTCTTTCTTTGTTTTGTGTAGTTTTACCATGAGCTGTCCAATTTTCCTGAACTTTATCTTTGGGGATACTTTGTGGCCTGTTATTAAATTGAGAGAATTTGTGTTTACTTCTGTCAATAGGTTGTAGATACTACCCATATAACATTTAGGAAAATTTAGAAATACATATATATTTTTAATGTTCTTTATGTCCATATACACTTGTATTTTTCATTCTTGCTGTTTGAAGATTCTCTCCTTTTCATTAGTATTTCCCAAAGGTTTTTTTTTTTTATTTTAATTTGTCTTTCAAAAGCACAAGCTTTTGCCATATTTTCTTTAATACTGCTTTTTTGTCTTTTCATTGTGTTCCTATCCAAGATACCATCCTGCAATTCTTTATTGGGTGTCTTCTATTTTTGTGTGACTTATTCCTGCCACGAAAATATTCTTAGCACCTGGATAGTTTCAGCACCTTCTCCTATCTTTACAATTTTGAAATTTATAAAACTAAAGCTTCACTTCAAATAGTCTACCCTGCCATGAAAAGAAAACTGTCATCCTGTTTTAGAATCTTTCTGTGGTTAATACACCCCATTCTTGTCTTGGAGAGTTTATGCAACTTCTGGTATTTTACTATTTTTATGTCTCCTGTTTGGGCCAAATATGTATAAGTTTTTAAATACAGACAGACTGTGAAATTAGGTAAACTAATTTCATTATTGTTCCCCACCCATATTTAAATGACCCTTTTGATACTTGAAACACTGGGCTGTGAAGAATTTAGTATTTGATTTTTGATACACTTTGCTCTTCGCTCTTGAAACCCTGAATAACCTAGGTATTAAGCCTGAGAACTGGAGTCTCAGGAATCAACATCTTTTATGTTTATTTTGAGGCCTTTTTAAACTGTCGTTTTTGGGGGGTATAAATTCTTCTATTTATGTTGTTAAATTGAATTTAGATAACTGTTGACATGGTTATGAAAAAAGGAAACCTTGTTAATCTTTATGGAGCTCTGTAATATGCAAAAATTAGATTTTGGATGCCATGTTCGCGTACATTTCTAAATTTTAGGTTGTCAGATAGACTTTAGGAAGCACACTTACACAAGGCATGCCTAATTCATTTCATCATGCATTTCATAGTGATTATACTCGAGTGTAGGAGTTGATAATTGTTTAAATGGGTTTATTACTCTGTATCTAAAACCATATTTTGAGATAGGAAAAAGAAGGGGAAAATCCAGAGTTATGCTTTCAGAAGATAACAGGACTATTGGAAATAAGAGATTGTCACATATAAACATTATAAAAGAAATAAACCATAAAAATATATATAATCTAGTGCACAAATATTTGTTCTGTTTATAAATATTATAAAAAATCATAAGAAAAACAAATGTGAATTGGAGTGATTAAAATAGGGTTTGTTTTATAAAAGAATGAGTAAGTGTTTAAAATATCCTATATATTCTCCATGTTATGAAATTATATTGCAAAAACTTTGGGTCTGATCTTAATAACCAATCATAAAGAGCAAGCCAGTCAATTTTATTAATTAAAATACTAGTGAAGAAAGTACATATATTAAATTTTCAACCTTTTCTTATAACTTAGTGGACAAGAAGTTAGGCTTTGGGAAAATTTCTCTTTAGGGACAGAGGCCTGTCCACAGTCTCCATGTAGGTAAGGCCTGGATTACCCTGACCAGATATTCTAGAAATAAAAGAGGAAATAATTTGTTTACTGAAGTTTAGCATTATCTCTGGTGGTTTCATGTCGTTCACCATGAAGGTAATGGACTCATTGGGGAAGATATGCTGGTTTCTTTTTTGAAAACTCT